GAAGCCAACCAAGGAGACAAAGTTACAAAAACCTGGCTCTGTGTGGCTTCCTGGCACCCTGGGCCACCTAATAAAACAGGAAGGGATAAAAATGTCAGCTACACATGGGCCCTGGCCAGTGTGGTTGAGTTGGTTGGGGGTCGTTTCATGCACCAAAAAGTTGTTGGCTCAATCTCCAGGCAAGGCATATGCTCGTGTTGTGGGCTTGATCCCAGGCTGCATGGGAGCAGATGGTCAATGTTTAGTTCTCACATTCACTGTTTCTGTCTCTCTCCCTCTCCCTCCCTCTCTTTTTTGAAAATAAAAATAAAGATATTAAAATTTTAAAAATTAGCCCCATTTAGTACTCCAATCTCTTTGTTCTGCCAGCCCCTGCTGGGTGAGGTGGAAACTCCCGGCTCCACCCCAGCCTCACAGTGGACAAATGGCCAATTCCCATGTGCCATTTAAATAAGCAGGTTTGGCCCAAATTTCCAGCCCAGTGCCATTTCCCTTAGCCTTGAAACACAGATGAGGCAGACCCAGCAGTTCATCAGGTGGTGTTTGGGGGGGTTGCCTGCATGTGTGTGGTGGGCAAGACCAATAGTCTTTTCAAAGCCACATAGTCTAGTCTCTGACTGGCAGTTTGCCCAAAGCCCTTCTGGAGAATAGGAAGCCCCTAAAATTATCTGGTGGGTGTTCCAAGCAGATCCCTCCACTGGTCAAGTTACTTCTATGTGGCCCTTCTTACTGTTACAGACCAGAGTGAAGTTCCCAGGCTGGTATTGAAACAATGCAATTGCTTTTGCCCTGAGATAGTATGGTTCAAGTCTCTCAGGTGAAACAAATCCCCAGTGATTCCTACCACTCAATGCTACGCAGGCTCCCCATCCCATCTCTGTAACTTGGATTGGAGGTCCCTGCATGAGGTTGAGACCCCATGCTCCCAAGGGAAGGGATCTTTGCTGCCACAATACCCCTTAAGCTTCCCAGCCACCATACCTGCACAAGGTGGTCCTCTATATCCATGTCTCCTCCTGTCTTCCTTCGTACTCCTGTTTATAAAATTTCATTTCAGCTATACTTCAACTGGTTTTCAAGTTGATTGCTGTACAGTCCAGCTGCAAGTCTGCTCTGGGGTTGGGAGCAAGTGGGGGGAGCTTCAACTTTCTCTGCAGTCACCTTGGAATCTTAATGCATCTTTCTTTGCAAGTCTTTTATTTTTGTCTTTAATGGAGATTGTTATAAATTTGACCTTAAATCTTATTTAATTCCAGTTGTCCTGGCATAATTTTATTTATTTATTTATTTATTTATTTATTTATTTATTTATTTATTTATTTTTATTATTGGTGTTCCTTCTTTTTCCCCCATTGACATCCTCTTCCCCACTCCTGTCTCCCACCCCCACCTTCATGGTATTGTTGTCTGTGTCCATTGGTTATGGGTATGTGTGCATACGTTTTTTGGTTTATCTCTTCTCACCCTTCCACCTTCCCTCTTTCTGAGGTCCCTCAGTCTGTTCCCTACTTTCATTTCTCTGAGTCAATTTTGTTCATCAACTTATTTATGTACGATATTCCAAAAATAAGTGATATTTCTCTTTCTCTAATTGGTTTATTTCACTTAGCATAATATTCTCTAGGTCTCTCTATGTCATTGCAAAGAGTAAGAGATCTTTCTTCCTCACAGCTGCATAGTATTCCATTGTGAATATATACCACAACTCTTTCATCTACTCATATGCTGTACAGTATACATTGTGTACATGTACCACAGCTTTTTTATCCGCTCATCTACTGAAGAATACTCGGGCTGTTTCCAAATCTCAGCTATTGGAAATAGTGCTGCTATAAACATAGGGGTGCATATACTCTTTCTGATTGGCATTTCAGGCTTCTTAAAATATATTCCTAGATGTAGGGTCACTGTGTCAAATGGCTGCTCAATTTTTAAATTTTTGAGGAAACATATTATTTTCCACAGTGGCTGCGGACCAGTCTCCATCCCCACCGGCACTATACTAGAGTCTCCTTTTCTCCATATCCTCGCCTGCAGTTGTTATTTGATGATTTATTGACAGCACCAATAATGAACACACACAAAGAGAAACTAAAAAAAAATTCTATTTACCTTTGTAATAAAACTATTAAGATACCTAGGGATAAATGTAACTAAGGAAGTAAAAAACCTGTTCTACAAGACATTGAAAAAAGAAATAGAGTAAGATATTGAAACATGGAAGCATATACCATGCTCTTGGATTGAAATAATTAACATAATTAAAAGGCCTATACTACCCAAAGCACTCAATAGATTCAATGCAGTTCCCACTAAAATACTAATGACATATTTCACAGATCTATAACAAATACTCCAAGAGTTTATTTGGAATAAAAAAGGCCCCGAATAACCACAGCAATCTTGAAAAAGAACAAAGTTGAAGGGATCACAATTCTGGAGATCAGGTAATATTACAAAGCTATTATAATACAACAGCATGCTACTGGAACAAGAACAGGCATATGGATAAATAGAAAAGAACAGAGAACTTAGAAATTGACCCAAGACATGCTCAACTAATATTTGATGAAGGTAATAAGAGCATACAATGGAGTAAAAACAGTCTCTTCAATAAATGGGGTTGTGAAAATTAAACAGGTACATGCAAAATAATGAACATAGACCACTAACTTACACCATATACAGGAATAAGCTAGCATAATTATTAACATTATCTTTTTCAGTATCCACAATATCTCAGTTTGAAGGAGAAAAAAATTGGTCTTATTTACAGAGCACAGATACAACCTTTTATAGTATTGGCTGATTTACGTTAAAGGGAAAGTCTACAATATAGTACAGAAGGAGAAGACTTGCAGAAGACCACTAGCAGTCATTCTCAGGGTCAACTGTGCCCTTTATGTCCTTACTTGTGGGCAAATATAGAATCCAAAGTAAAGACTATTCATTTGGATAAGAGCAATTCAAGGAGGCCAGATATAGGATCCCTGGTCAAACTTTAAATTTGTCATATAGGTAAATATGTTGACAATAAGAAATTAAATTCTTCCTGCCCTCAAATCATTACATAGGCTTTGACAGAATTGAAATTAGTACCTCGATGAGATATATGCACAGTCATGCTTATTGCAGCATTATTCACAACAACTAAGAAACAACCTAGATGTCCTGTGGATGAATGAATACAGCAAACATGATATATATGTATATATAAAAATATTATTCAGCCAATAAAAACGAAGCAAATCCTGCCATTATGGTGACATGAATGAATCTAGAAGGTATTATGATAAGTGAAATAAGCCAGACAGAGGATAAATATTGAATGATGTTACTCACATGTGGAATCTTTAGAGTGAAAAAGGCCAATTTCATAGAGAATAAAATGTTGATTGCCCCAGGATGGAGAATTGGGGTGATGTATGTAAAAGAGTGCACATTGTTAAAGGAGAATACATTCTGGGGGTCTAATGTATACATGGTGACTGTAGTTAATAATACTGTATTGTATCACTGAAAGTTGCTGACAATAGATCTTAAGCATTCTCACTACAAACAAATAAAATAAAAAGAATTAACTATGTGAGATAATAGATGTGTTAATTTTCTTGATCTTGGTAATCTTTCCATGTCTGTAAGTATATTAAACTGTCACATTGTATACTTTAAATATAACTACATTTGTCAATTATTCTGAATTACTCCTCAATGAAAAATAAAATAAAATAATTAGGATTAAAAAGGCCTTGACAAAATAGTCACACCTTAATAGAGAATAATGAATATGCTAATATGTCTTCCAATTTCAACAAATGTTTATAATATACTAGAGAGTTTTACACCATCACCATTTACATTTCCCGGAGTTTGATGGTCCCTCAGATACTTCCTCATTGAAACACCCACCACATGTAAACATACAACCCATTGCAGTCATCATCTGCTCAACAGTGAGTTAATTGCAATTGTTTAAAGAGTTGTGTTGTTGCTAGCAGAAAACCTTGGATTCAACTACCAGTTCTGCCACTTCCCCACATGCAACCATTGGTGAGTTACTCTTTCTCTTTGCAGACTCAGTTTTTTTATACACAAAAACATCAAAGCTCCTGCATCACTAAGCTGCTGAGAGGATGAAATGACATACAGCTGTCAAATCAAGTGTTCAACAAATGTTAGTGTTACTAATATATTTTTTACCAATACTGCCTTATCATAATTACTTAATATTTGTTATGTATAATTATTATAATATATATATTTTATTTATACACAATATATCTTATTTTCAGTATTATGATCAATTATTATGATTATTAATAATTATAATTATTAAATCACTCTTATAGACTGAATGGTTATGTCCCCCCAACTTTATATATTGAAGTCCTAGCCACCAATGTGAATGTATTTGAGATAAGGTCTGTGAGGAGGTGATAAAAGTTAAATGAGATTATCATGGCAGGGCCCTAATCCCATAGGTCCAATGCACTTACAAGAAGAGGAAGACACACCAGAGCATAGTCTCTCTCTGCCATCCAGGACACAGTGAAAAGGCAGCTGTCTACAAGCCAGGAAGAGAGCCCTCAACAGGAATAGAATAAGCCAGTACATTGACCTTAGACATTCCAGCTTCCAGAATTGTTTTAACATAACTTTCTGTCATTTCAGGCACACAATTTGTTGAATTTATCATAGCACTCTGGGAAGATAAAGACATTCATTAACAGGAAAAACTTGGCTTTACAAAAAAGGGCCTTTTATTCATGTTAATAGTACTAAAGAATAGGGAAAGAATATCCCAGAAGTGATTGGGGATGCTACCATTGATTTCCATAAGTCCACAGGAGGAAACATGAACCCAACTAGCCATGTGATGAAAAGATGCTGGACATTCAGCCTTTCCCATAAGGTCTTAGCAGCAGCCTTACAAGTGGGTGTTTCGAGGTGATGTGTGACATGGAAGACAGCTGAGATCAAACTAGCAGCTCCCTATGTGGTCACCACTTTGGCCTGAGCCCAGCTCTGCTGATCACTTTTACCAAAGCTATTTGCACCTCCCTGTTCCTCAGACTGTAGATGAGAGGGTTAAGCATGGGGGTTACAAGGCTGTAGAAGAGGGAGACCACATTGTCCTGCTGTGGGCTGTGGTAGGCACCCGGTACCATGTACATGAACACAGCTGCACCATAAAAGAGCCCCACGACTGTGATATGTGAGGAGCAGGTGGTGAAAGCCTTGTGTCGGGCATTCTCTGAGCGCATACGTAGAACGGCTTTCAACACGTGGCCGTAAGAGGTTGCAATGAGGGAAAGGGGAAGCATAAGGATCAGCACCCCCGAGATGGACAGTGCCAACTCATAGGCAGAGGTGTCTGCACAGGAGAGCTTTAGCAGGGCTGGCACCTCACAGAAGTGATCCACCATATGAGAGGCACAGTAGGGGAAGTGCAGGGTGATGGAGGTCTGGATGGAGGCATTGAGCACACCTGCCATCCAAGAGCAGCCCACCATCAGCAGGCACACTTGTCGCCTCATAAGCACAGGATACCGCAGAGGGTGGCACACAGCAACATAACGGTCATAAGACATGAAGGCCAATAGGATGCCCTCAGCCACACCCATAAGTGTAAGGCAGAATATTTGAGCTGCACAACCCCCAAAGGAGATAGAACCTTCCACCTGTAGGAAGTTTGCTGACATCTTTGGGATGGTGACCAGGGGGAAACCAACATCAAACAGGGAAAGTTGACTGAGCAGAAAGTACATGGGTGTATGGAGCCGGGAGTCTGTGCAGATCAAGAAGAGCAGAACAGTGTTTCCCAGAAGGCCCGTGATAAACATGGCAGCCACCAGGGAGAAGAGTAGATGACATGAACCTGAGTAACTGAAGAGGCCCACCAGATGAAAGTCAGAGGTCACTGATTGATTCACATCCTCCATTTTCACAAAGTATTCTTTGTTTCAGGAAGAACAGGAGACAAATGGCAAGAGGCAGAATGGGATGGCAAACAAGTTTCATCCCACCTGCTAATGGTAATCAATTGCTAGTGGCTGCTTAGTGTGCCATCTTGAGAAGAGTTATGAGGTCACAGCTAGAATCATTAGGGGGAAGGCTTAAACAATTCATGATATGTGTCACAGCCATGGGATGGGAGAGCAATAACTTGCAACTCTTGGCCACACCCCATTCAAGATCTTCCCACTGACCCTTGTAGTTTAAATATGGTGATCCAAGTCAAGGACAGTAATATAGCCTCAGTGGAACATTTTGACAGCCCTCTTCTCAGTAGTCCTGGAGCCTAAGTCAACATGAGATTTTTAAAAACCTGGGAAATAAAATAGGGGATGAGGGAGCTGAAGCAACAATCCAAGCAAGAAAACAGAGGGAATGTTCCAAACACCTGGTTGAGAATCTGGTGCAAAGATAAATGTCTTGTGAGCCAGCAATGGGGTCAAATTAAGAGGCAAATCTAGGGAGTCTGAGCCACATGGACACTTAGGTGACAGCATGTTGGGTGTCAAATGGCTAGAGTTAGGTAGGTTGAACAATTTTCAAAAAGCTCACATGTTGCCCTGGCTGGTGTGGCCCAGTTGGTTGACTGATTCCATGCACCAAGAGGTCACTAGTTCCTTTACCTGTCAGGGCTCATGCCTGGGTTTTGAGCTCAATCTCGAGTTAGGGGGCGTGCAAGAGGCAGCCAATTGATGTTCTCTCTCATTGATGTTTCTCTCTTTCTCTAAAATCAGTAAAAAAAATATTTTTAAAAAGAGCTCACATGTTATTGATGACTTTGTTGCATTGGATGGGAGAGTAGCAACATGTTGGTAGTCTAACTCCATTTTAAGGACTAGAAAAGCACTGGAACAGAAAGATTGTGAGTCTCTAATAAATATTGTCTAAGTGGACAAGAAAAATGTCCATGGACAAGGAGGAGCTTCACACCTACATCAAGGATCTTTAATTCTCTTAGCAATCTCCAAGCCCTGATGGTAAACTGAGATTGCCCTGGAATGCTATACACCATGCAAATTTCTAAGAGTGGACAATGCAGGACCAGAGGAATGCTTTTTCCCAACTGCAGGTAGTTAAAGAGGCAGCAATACAGGAATGTAAAGGCAAGTGGATTCTACTGAGATCCTCAATGAAAATCTTTGTCCTAAGGTTGCCATCCTCACTCAGATGGCATTCAAGGCAGTTTTTAATTATTCACCAACCTGATTTTTCTAATACAGTCAAGCCCCCTATCTACCATTCACAATTGCTTTCAACAAAATTTGTCACACACTGATTGCTAGCCATTGCACATTCAAAGGTGAATCAACTAGGCAAGGTCCTTACTTCCCTGGACCCCACAGTTTCCATCAAAATATCAATGACAAACAATATCTTTGTGATAAAGAGAAATACGGTGAGGGAAGAGGGTAGAATGTTCTGTAGAAAATGGCTGAAACACTAGGGGACATGGTCAGGGGAACCTCTTTGGGGAGATGACAGATGCCCTCAGTGTCAGAAGGGTTTCAATGAGAGGGATGTGGTAGAACCAACTGCTTCCTGCTACTGGGAGTTGGATGTCAGCCAGTTGTGTGGTTCACCCTAAGAAAGAACTTTTTAACACTAAAATCCAACCAAAAATAAATGCTCTGCCTTATTGGTGGCATTTTCCAAAGTCAGTCAATGATATAAGAGAGTAAGATGACTTAGTTCTGTGGTTATGAAATGTAGCATCAGAGAGAACATAAGCATTGTTCACATCATTTAGCAACAGTCTGATCAGCAATGTAATAGAGACACATGCACAATGTCTTGGGTACTCAGGGGATGAAACTCTGAATGGGATCAGGTCAGGAAAGGCTTCATGGAGGATATTTTTGATGGTCTAGAAGTTTTTCAGGCAGCTAGAGCAGGGAAAGTTGTCCAAGAAGAAGGAATTTAGCACATGGGCTGTATGGATTGGTGGTTAGGAAAGTGTACGTACTTTAAGTAAGAATAAAATGAGGTTGGAGCCCTGGTCAGGTGGCTCTGTTGGTTGTAGCATTGTTCCCTACATCAAAATGTTGTAGACTTAAGTCCTGGTCAGGGCACATACCTGGGTTGCAGGTTCAATCCCCACTCAGGGCATGTATGGGAGGCAACTGATCAATGTTTCTCTTTCACATCAATGTTTCTCTTTCTCTCTCAAATCAATAAACATATCCTCTGGTAAGGATAAAAAATATTAGCTTGGATCTCAGCTCAAGCACTTTGCAGCAGCATGATCTTGGGTAGCTACTCAACATCAGTTTCTTCTTCCATAAAATGGGTGGCCATAATCTGGGTTACTGGCACTGTTGTGAAGATTCAATGACAGGATAAATGTTAAGAAATCAGTAGTGCCCGACAAGTGGCAAGTGCTCAGTAATTTGTAAATGATTACACATATAATTATTAAATGTAATGTATTATAATAATATCTATGAATTCTATAATTATAAAGTTGTTATTATTACAGTAGTTCCCCCCTTACCTTCAGTTACCTGCACTCAACTATGGCCACAAAATACTAAATAAAAAATTTTAGAAATAAGCAATTCATGAGTTTTAAGTTGTACAGCATTCTGAGTAATATAATTACATCTCATCCATCCTGTTCCGTTCAGCCTGGAAGATGAATCATCCCTTTGCCCAGTGTATCCACTCAGCATGTGCTAACCACCATTAGTTACCAGTGGCAGACTTGGTTATCAGATCCACTATCATCATATCAGGGAGTTTTTGTTCAAGTAACACTTGTTTTACTTAATAATGGCCTCAAAGTGCAAGAATAGTGATGTTGGAATTTGGATATGCCAAAGAGAAGTTGTAAAGTGCTTCCTTTAAGTGAAAGTATGCATGTATATATAAGAGAAAAATAATATATATAGGGTTTGATACTATTTGCAGTTCCAGGCATCCCCTGGTGATCTAGAAATGTACCCACTTCGAAAAGAGAGGACTACTATACTCAATATTATAGCTCTGTCTGTGGTCAAACCTGACCCTGTCTAGATCACCCTCTTTAATGCTGCTCTATGATGTTCTTGTACTTCCTGGGTAGAAACATGTCTCTCCTCTGGCCTCTGAGATTCTTTGGTAGAGTCCCTAAAAGTTAATTTATCCCCAACTCCATTAGTTTACAACAGGATTTTTTCACCTTTATATCATTTGGTGACATGTAAGTCTTTGTTGTGAGGAACTATCTTTTGTAAAGTTTAGCAGCTGCCCTGGCTTCAATATATTTAATACCAGTTGCACTCTCCTCTACTCCTAGTCAGGAAATCCAAAAATGACTCCACACCTGGTCTAATGTTCCCCAGATAGACAGAATCATCCCCCAGTTGAGGATCTCTGGTTTACAGACAGAATAAGTGTAACCTGTAGAGACTTTACTCAGCAATTCCCCTTCCAGATATTTATTCTAAAATTGTAGGAAGCTTTGACCCAGCAAAATCCCTGAAAATATCTTATCATTTCTGTGCCATTAATCCTCACAACTGTCTACCAATTTATAATCCATCAATTTCCAAATCACCAAGTCTCCCAGCTGGTAAAATAGCTTTTATTGCAGACTCCTGTGAAGGGCTATTTAAGTGTCCAAATAAATCTGATTTTGCTCTGTACACTCACATATTCTCACCCTGAAGGGAGCCGATGCCAATTGAGTGCTGACTGTGTGGAGGGCATCAGGTGATTCATATGCTTAACACTTTAATCCTCAAGTCCTGGAGAAGGACGGTGGTCATGTTTGCATAAAAATGTGAATACACATAATGGCATCAACAGTACACTTAAAAATGATTAAGATGGTAAATTTTTATTTTTATTGTTTCTATTTTATCACAATAAAAAAGCAACACTGCCTTACATATTATTTACCTGTTTGTTTTGGATGAGAAGACAGAGGTTCAGAGAACTGTAGTGACTTTTCCAGGATCGCTCAGCAAGGAATTAATAGAGCCAAGATTTCAACAAAAGAGGGATCTGATTTTAAAGTCCCCATCTTTCCCCTTACATTCAATACTCTCCCCCCAAACACTGTGAGAGATATGTAAAGATTTGTTACACACACACACTCAGTCATGCATGCCCACAAACTCATCTTTCCTTCCAGGGTGCCCATTTGGTCCCACTGCTCTTGATCCATCTTTTTAAAAAACACACCCTGTGTTTGTAATCTCTAATCAGCATCTCTTCCATGCCTAGAGCTTCTGGCTATGATCCTCTTGTGTCTTGAGCTTTAAAAAATATATATTTCTCTCCAAGACATCGGGGCTGGATTCTTTCACTGTGACTCCAAAATTAATTCTTCTCATATGGGTTGAAAAAGAGCCCCTTTCACAGTTTCCAAGTTTTGGTTTCTCCTCTACCTTTCCCCATTTACCTGAATGATGTCATAATTTGGGCCTAGGGGGTCCCTCTGGTGATGTAAAGTGACCAGGGGAAAGGCGCCAGCATTACTTAATTTCTTGTTGCAAATAAACTTTTCTATCTCTCCACTATGACTAGGTATAATCTGGACCCTTGGTCACCTAATTAATCAAATAGCAGCGTGCAGGACACTGTCATTTACTGTTTATTTAGTCCTCACATCCAATCACCCCAGCTCAAGAATCCATAGCAGTGCTTGCTCAATAAATCATTGTTGAATGAATACACTCTGCAGGAAAACAATATTTTTGTGAAAACTAATGTTACTGACAAATGGACTGAGAGAGCGGAAGTAACTAAACTAAAGTCACACACCTACTAAGAGGGCAGGCTAGAATTTGAAACCTCTGATTCTAAATTCGAAGCACTCTGAACACTGAATGCTGCATCTTTCTTGAAGTTAATGCTCAGCTCTTCTGCCCAGGAGTCCAGAACTGAGAACACCTCTGGGAATGGGGGTGAAAAGAGAACAGCCTGTCCTCAGAGGGTGAGCTGG